TAATAAATGAGTTTAAATGAATCTTCCCTCTTTAAGTATAAATGTCTTAAGGAATCCTAAGATTAAGCTGTCAGCAGAAGGCCTGAGTTAGATTCAGTCACATAATATCTCCTTACTTTGTCCAAGGTCTGATCAGAACTAATACTGAAAACTGATCAGCTTAAAAAGTACTGAGAGAAGTATGCAGAAGTGTGTATTGGTGTAAATGTATGTTGTATCTGTGATTTTACTTCTATTCCAGTCCCATTCCTGCGGATTCCTGTGGATTCTGGTCCCATTCCTGCGGATTCCTGTGGATTCCTGCAGATTCCGGTCCCATTCCTGCGGATTCCTGTGGATTCCTGTGGATTCCGGCGGATTCCTGCAGGAATGGGAGGGGCACTGTAAAGTACTGCTTCTTCGCAGCAACCCCACAAAACGCCTACTCTTAATTCCGCTAAGAATAGCAGGCCTCTGTGAGTACCTTCCTCAGCAAACCTGACGTCATTTTGATGTTGTTCCCAGACCTGTTTTTTTCTTCCTTTTTCAAGACGTTTCGTCCAGAATTCCTGCGGATGACCCTGTCATTCAGTCAAGTTCTCCGGCTCATCCTCACCAAAATTACATCATTGAGAGGGTAGAGCTTGCACAGTCAGCCTATGTAAGTAAATCATCAAAAGAATCTAACTCAAGCACAACTTACATGTCCGATAGATCCAAGTCGATGGGAAGCTCCAGAAGCTTAGGCACAGACATAAGCTCACACCAGATCAGTGGCAATCAATGTATCATGATGATGAGATTCGAGGTCACCATATCCGCATAGAGCTCTTTAGTAAGTAGCTCAGAGCCGATCCATCTACTCTTTCCTTTCTAACTTGCTTTCAACAATTATTTCAGCCCACTTAGGACATGCCACCAAGGTCACGATTAGATATCTTGGCCTTCTCATTACCTTTGCTGCTTGGGTCGCTCTGTTGTATGGGATGATTCATGTCCGTGGGACAGGGTGGAAAGTAGTGATGGGTGTCGTAGCTGCAGTAGTCTGGGACTCTGGGTCCAATTCTGGAAGTTGCACAAGTTCAACTTTGTGCCGGGCACAACCTGGCATATATTGCCGATGTTGTGGCCCCAGATTTTTGTCAGTAGATGGGCATGGTTGACAGGTTGAGATGTCATGGAATATTTCTACACACTTATCTTTGCCATTAATCTTGTTGAAGTTGTCGACTGAGTACTAGGCAACATTCAGGGCTTATACGGGCTTTTGTACATCAGCAAAATGTCCAATTACACTTTGGTAACTTAGACTTTGATGTTTGCAACTTTCAGCAACTATTTCAACTTTACCGTGAACTTTCACTTCAAGAATACAACTTTGACTTTGATTTCTACTCTTTGAACTACTTTATGAATGTTTTGCACTTTGGAGTTTCAAACTTTGAAAAGAGACTAAAAATTATAAAATTAGAATACTGAAGGCTATATCATGAGCATGATAATCCATATAACTATTTACGTAGAAGGCTTGAAAAGAGTCTAAACAATCATTAAAATAAAAGTTGTGAGGAAGGCGTGTTGCACCATCACAAACACCCATCAGATGAGCATGAAAGCGCAATGCCGTGATACCGGATTGAAAGGAAAGAGCGGACACTGCGTGCGACGAGCAGCCCGCGGAAGCCTTCGATATCTTGGGGGCCCTTTCCTCCATGAGCCGACTGCCCAAATACGTTCTTAAAACATTCCTCGCGTGCCAGACTTGTCACTGGGAGTGAAGTAAATGGCGAGAGCAGAGGCGTAGATGTGCGGGAGGTTGGGGATCGGGCGCATCATGTCGGCTGAATATGGAGGCATTAAGCATGCCCCTAGCTTGGAAGTTGACGCGTGCAGCGGCTAACGGACTGCTTCTGAGGGTAAACAATTAGTATTGTGCAGGATGGACGAAGCAATGTAGGTACTCAAGCACTCACCATTCACGACCTTCTCCCATTCTTCACGACCCAGCGTATCAGCTCGTTCCCCACACCCGCGTCCTTCCGGCAGAATTTACGTGTTAGATTTGAATGTTGAGATTTCGTGTATGTGTTATCATGGTCTTGTTCGTCCTTCGCGTATCACTTCGGTTTGTGGTAGGTAGTCGTCACAGATTCACTTGTGAATCCTCATCGTCGTGTGTGTTGAGCTGACTGCTTGTGAGGGTGGAGTGACTGAAAGTGAGAAGAGAGCGGAATATGATGGCAAGCAAGGTTATATCTAGTAGCCAAAGTAAGTCTTTGAAATGCGATTAGAGGAACAACTCGAGTAACATACCTCAAAATGATATGGCAAGATGAAGCTGTTTTCATTTTTGCGCAAGTTGAATTGCCCGGCCCTCAGGAGGATGACGTGATCACGAATTCACGTGACCTTGGTTCAAGTGAGAAATTTTCGCGCTCTTTCTTCCTTCCCCACCTGTCCCTGCCATCCTCGCTGGTACCGTTTGTATTGATTGGTCGCTGCTCACTCTCTTCTCCACCTGTCTTACCTCCACGTTTCTCCACCCACTGTGCCTCTATCCACTCCTCCGCTTCTCCCTGAATTTCAAGTCTCGCTCTTAGATGGCAACCCCTTAGGTGATAGATCTACTAAGCATTCGTTTATCTGTTCCTTTAGACTCTCCTTGAAAACATGGCCTTCCTAGGACAGCTCAACATATCTCCCTTCAACAACAACTGGATCTTGGAGTGCAGTAGTATGCCTCTAGTGGAATGAAGCCGTCTTGCGCAAGTCTTTTTTTTTCTATCTCACTCGCGGATGGGGTATTGATTCAACTTCTCTCTGATATAGTTTCTGTCGCGGATCCGGTCTTTCGTTGTGAGTGTGGGAGAATGGAGCATTGGTATGCACCATTACAGACTCCTTGGTATTGCATACTGACGTGCAATTTCATTGCTCCCCCAGACCACCAGACGAACTCCACAACTACCACTACCACAACCAAGACACGACGATCACGAAGATGACCGCACCGTGTTCATGACAATGATAGCGAACCACAATGACGACGTGTTTCCACGACCACGTTCATGCAACCACGACCGCCACCATACCCACGTGCAATCTCATTGCTTCTCCAGACCGCCAAACAAGGATAGTGGTAGCGGGAAGGTTGAATAGCGGCGACTGGATGGATGGAGGCGAGAAGTCGCCGAATCAGCATTTAGCTAGGGCTTTATCCACTTACGTCTACCATACATTATCTGTATTAGATACTGAACATCAATACCATTACTATTACCTTCTTCCGATATATAACATGCTTGAGATTCAAAGTTACTAAATAAGTTGATCAAAGTTTGCAAGCAAAGATGCCAAAGTGCTACGGAAAGATGTATTTGAAAGATGTTTTCAACTTTGTAAAGTAGTCCAAGAACTTTGAAAGATGTTTTTCAACTTTGGAAAGTAGTTCAACAACTTTGAAAGTTCATGTACCTTACTTTCCAAAGTTGTTGAACTCTTGCAACTTTCGCAACTTTACAACTTTGCAAAGTTGCGAAAGTTGCCCAAAGTTCCATGGGACGTTTTGCTGATGTAAATGTCAAAACTCAATTCCTATCTAGGTGTTTCGCCCGTCACACCTTACCTACTAATCTAAAGGCACCGAAGTCAGTGACCTTCATCTGCATCTCTTATCGTGCCCAAAGGAATCTTGATCCAAGTATCCAACAAATATCCCCATCCTCCAGCTGCTTTACAACACATGCATATTTTCCCTTCACCAGTACAGATCCAAATTCTGCACCTTCTTGGACCCGTATGGAATTGTGCCCAGGATATGTTCAGTTGAAGTGTTGGAACGTTCTTCTAGGGTTTCTATGAAGATGGCATATACGCAATTCAATGTCCAGCGTCAGATGCACCCGGTTTCCTCCCTAGGTTGCTCAAAGTTAAACGAACTCTTGGATGGGAACTCGAGTCCTCAGTACTCAGTTATAATATCACACTCATACCCGACTGCTGTGAACACCACCATCCAGTGTCATTTTTGCATGGGCGGACCTACGGATCATAGGATCTCTGATCTACTGACTGTACATACGTACATGTAGTGTTTGAAAGTCCGGTTCAGTCCGGTTTTTTGATGCCCAGGGGCATTAACTGCAACCGTAACTGGTCTGCCTTTTCCCCAGAAGTCAAAAGACCAGACCGGACCACAAAAAAACGCGGTCTGCGGTCTTTTTGCGGTCTATAGACCAGTTTCGGTCTGCATCGGTTTTAACCAGTTTATGACCGGTCTTTAGGCTAATATTTTAAAATTATGAATCGGTAAATTTATTAACATCTCTATTAGCTTCAAAACGAGCTCAAGAACGTCAAATTCCGTTAGGAATTGGTACTTTTATAAAATAAGTCTGGTACATCTATTATTCCCAAAAGTAATTTACATTTTAATTCATATCTCTCTCGTTTTTTTACCAAATCATACGTTCTTGGGTGCGTTTTAAAGGGTATTTAAGGGACTACAAAAACCCGGTCCAAACCGGTTAAGACCGGTTCACGTTAACCGGTTTTTTTGCGGTCTTTACATCTCAAAAATAAAAGACCGTAACCGCAGGTCCGGTCTTTTGCGGTCTCAAGCCAAGTGTTGTGATTTCGGAGTTCGAATCACACCCAGATCACGCTTGCCCGCGCCAACACTTGTCCCGCAAATCACACCAAATCACACTTTTTGCAGCACGTCCCACGCCAAATCACACTTTTTTCCAGGACAAGTCACAAAACGGACCCGCCAAATCACAGTTTGGATCACACTTTTTGGCGGGTGGGAGACCTGACTTGTCCTGGAATCACACCTCCCACCCAACACTTGTCCTGGACCCTGACTGTTTTCTCTCGTGCCTCATACCCTTTCCGTTGCGGCCGCTCATACTTAGCTCTCCTCTCCCTTACCTTGTAAAATAGATTACCAGGTAGAAGCCTCGTTATTTAAATAAATGAACTTCAGTTCCACTCAGCTCACAAGTTATTTCCAGCATCAAGGTTTGGCAAGCCCACCTCCCGGAAGACCTACAAAATTTACTCTGTGAGTTCTGGCTCAAATTTTATGATCTTGGGCTTTACTTGATGCTGACTACTACAGGGAGCGCCTCCCGAGTTTACGAAATGGAACGCTCATCCGTTCAATTTTGGCATTCGGTTTTGTGGTGAAACCATGCCCATAAGCAGAAATTGAGATAGCAAAGTAAGTTCTTGATCAATTTTTACGTTCTTAGGCTCTACTTGACCGGAACTGCTCCAGGAACCACCTCCCGAGTTTTCGAAACATAGCGCCTAGCCGTTCAAAGTCGGCGTTCGGTTTTGCGGAGAAATAAGGTCTATTACCAGAAATTGAGACTTACAGGTAAGTTCTCGCTCGATTTTTACGTTCTTGGGCTCTACTTGACCTAAATTGCATCAGGAACAACCTCCCGAGTTTTCGAAACATAGCGCCTAGCCGTTCAAAGTCGGCGTTCGGTTCTGCAAAGCAATGAGGTCTATTACCAGAAATTGAGGCTTACAGGTAAGTTCTTTCTCGATTTTTACGTTCTTGGGCTCTACTTGACCTAAATTGCATCAGGAACAACCTCCCGAGTTTTCGAAACATAGCGCCTAGCCGTTCAAAGTCGGCGTTCGGTTCTGCAAAGCAATGAGGTCTATTACCAGAAATTGAGGCTTACAGGTAAGTTCTTTCTCGATTTTTACGTTCTTGGGCTCTACTTGACCGGAATTGCTTCAGGAACAACCTCCCGAGTTTGCGAAACGTATCGCCTCACCATTCAAAGTCGATGTTCGGTTCTGCAGAGCAATGAGGTCTCTTATCCTAAATTGAGGCTTACAGGTAAGTTCTTGCTCGATTTTTACGTTGTTGGGCTCTACTTGACCGAAATTGCTACAGGAACAACCCCCCGAGTTTGTGAAATATGGCGCCCAACCGTTCAAGTTCAGTGTTTGGTTCTGCAGTGGGGAAATAAGGTCTCTTGCTGGAAATTGCGGCTCACACAGAAGTTCTTACTCGTATTCTATGTTTTTGGGCTCAATTTAACAGGAATTGCTTCAGGAGTGATCTGCCAAATTAATGAAATTTGGCACACCCTTGTTCAACTTTAGCATTCGGTTTTGTAGAGAAGTATGGTACATATTACTAATGTGGCTGAGTACAGTATGTGTGTATGACCAAGTAACTGGGAACGATTATAAGACGACGCAATAGAGATTATTCTTGAAGATATTTGTATGCTACAGTGGATGAGAGGCTCAACAAAAAAAATGAAGAAATAAAAAGAAAAGACAAAGAAAAAAAGTTAATGATACAACGAAAGCATGATTAATTCTTAAGTGGCCATGATGACATCCCCAGAGGAGGGAGCACTAGACTCAGGGCAAGGGCCACCTACCTTGCCCTTCTTCTAGTGATGTGCAAGGGTATGGGAACCCTTAGGGGTACGTGGGTAAGGGTACAGTGGGTGAGGGTAGAGGTAGCAACATTGAACCCTCAGCCAAACCCTAACCCTCACCACGGGTTAGGGTTACCCGCCTAATTCCGAAAGGGTAGAGCTTAGGATTTAGCATGTCCAAACAACATGAACAGGTCTCAAAATCACATGTTGAGAGGCAAGTTGAATTGAGAAAAGATGGGGGCGTCGGCTTGAAGGCAAGTTGAATTGAGAAAAAGATGGGAGCATCGGCTTGAAGGCAAGTTGAATTGAGAAAAGATGGGGGCGTCGGCTTGAAGGCAAGTTGAATTGAGAAAAAGATGGGAGCATCGGCTTGAAGGCAAGTTGAATTGAGAAAAGATGGGGGCGTCGCCTCGACTTAGCTTCGTAACCATTCATGTACAGATCCGGTAGACTATATACTGAAATTTGACTCTTGTGGAGCAGCAAATGCTTGTCCGACATTATAAACACGATATCTACATATTTCACTGCTCCACAATACATTCTGCCGGCCTTTTAACACGCAAAACCATCCTTTTCTTCCATCGCGAGGAGCCTGGCCCAACCTAGTTTTCAGAGTAAGTAGCCGAAGTCCTATAAATATCAGGTAAGTTATGAGCATTTATCTAAGAAATGGCACCTACCCATAGTAAACCAATTCCTGAGCAACGTCCTCTCGGCGTTCGCAAACGCTTCCTCGCTGCCAGCCTTGCCTCCACCGACAATGTCGACCCTGCTGCTGTTAAACGGCGAAAGCTCGAAGAGGACGCAGCCGTGTTGCGCCGACAGCAACAGCCATCAGTCGAGCTTGTGGTCGACGACGACGACGACCTCCCTTCCAATTCACTACCATGGAATGCATCACGAATCATGGAGGCCGCTGACGGAAGCGACGACGAGGATGTTGAGATGGTTGACGACGACCTCGACGACTTGCCTAGCCTGATCCCTGTAGACTCCAGTGAGTGTGGGGATGAAGACCATGACGGCGATGACGACGATGAGGAGGAGGAGGAGGGGGAGACTGCCGAGGCAGAACTAGGTAAGTTTTCTATTGAACTCAAGTGTCATTGACGAATACTCACCAAATTTTGCCAGCGCGTCTCATCGAGGATTGGACCTCGCCCATCTACGCTTTCTTTGGCCCAATCCCAGACATCACCTACAATGCCGAAGGCCGTCGCGCTCATGAGTTCCGCTGCTCAGCAGGTGTATGTAAGGGTAAAGGCACCAACAAACGAATTGTTCGGCGTTACCTCGATACGTTGGACCGGACATCGAGCAGTAACCTCAAACGTCATGCGATCCTTTGCTGGGGAGGAGACACTGTCGCTAAAGCCTTGGATGCAAAGGTTGACATCGAGTCAGCTCGCAAAACTCTTGGCGGGCTTCAGGACGGCTCAATCACGGCAGCATTTGAGCGCAAGGGGAAAGGAAAAGTATCGTACTCACATCGCCAACACACCAAAGCGGAGACTCGGTAAGAGAGATAGCATGTTCAAGTTATTCATCCTCTGACAATGACCTGATAGGGCCGAGATTGTTCGCTGGGTATCTGAAAGCATGCGCCCATTCAGCATCGTTGAGGACCGAGGATTTCGCTGCCTCATGAAAACGGGGAGGCCAGAGTATTACTTACCATCTCGTTCAACTGTTTCCCGTGATGTCAAGGAAGTGTTTACGAAGGTGCGAAAGAGGATTGCTAAGATGCTTCAGGTCAGTAACGAGTAGCGTTTAAAAATGGCATAACAGACACTTACCTTGTATTAGGAGCACGACGGTAAGATAAGCTTTGGAACGGACGCTTGGACGTCACCGAATTCCAAGGCATACATCGCCGTTACTGCCCACTTCGATCGGAATG